GACTCTCCGTTTGACATTCCAGATACGACTAAGGATTTGATTTGAAGAACAAGTGGGAGTATATTTTTATACGATTCCCACAGACGGCGCCAAAGTGTAGGTGCAAAATTTCGCTCAACCAATAATGATTAAGAAAAATAAAACAACTCACTCAATCAATAGTAAAATAAACAAGAACAATATATCTCGAAGCATAGAATTACTTGATCCCTTTATTGGAGGACTTAGCCTCTATTTATATACAAAAGATTGTAAAATTATGGTAAGACTCGCGTTGCTTGCCCTCCAATTCTTTCTATATAAACATTCTTTACTAATAGAGTTCTTTCCATTGTCTAATTTTCCATACATAGAACTTGCCTTGTACAGAACTTCCTATCTCAGAATTTTCCTTCTACGGTAAATCCTTCAACTGGTAGGACTTGTGCATTCTTGAATAACTGGGCTGAACATATTTTGATCCGGCTGGGCTTGAGTAACGGACCGGATGTTAAATATTAACAAGTTGGGCTGATGACCTCTTGATTCGGCCTTGATGGAGGTTGGAGGACAAATAACAACGGTCTTGGGTTATAAATACCCTCAATTTGGGTTTGAGGATGATGGGCCTTATATGTCCTTCGAATGTAGATATGTGTAGTGATGATGTGTGCGCTTTTTATTGGAGAGAGTTTTTTTCCCTCCACAGGTCCATATGCCACTGATAGGTACCTTTTATTTTTTTTTTTGGGTAAATAATTAATAGGTACCTTTAGTGTTCGGCATGTTTCTCTTTTTCCTTTTCAATCGCTGCCATAGGCCCATAAATATATGTATAAATATATCATATTCTTCACCATCAAAGTGAAATTTTGAAAACTCCAAATCAACAATCCATTGGTCTGTCATTTACAAGCGCGTTTTAGAAGCACTTGTAGAATTAGGCCTTTGAGTTCTGAAAAAGCTAGTGACGTCCAACCTCTCAACTGTGTAGATGCATTCTACATGAGTTGGAGTAGGTAGTAACTCTTGTACTTCCACTCGACTCCCGAATTTGTCCATAATTAAGAGAATTTTAGAAGAAGACTAGAGATAGAAGATTTTCTCTCAGTTCTTATCATTAATCTACACAACGATCTCTTTCTTAATTTTTTTTCGTTGCGTAAATCAGCAAACAAGAAAATCGAGCAATCAAGAGAGAATGGTTTGTGAGACAGAAAGTAGAGATTGAGAAGAGAAATGAGAAAGGTTGCAAGGGATAAAGAGCAAGACTAATTAGTTATACGTAGAATACAATGAAATTTTAGTGCCGTAAGTTATTAGTTTGCATGCCCCAAGGGCATAGGGGCGTAAGTATAAAGATTCATAAAGTAAGTCCTATCACTTCTGAACCACACTCCTATCTTAAATGGTGCGTGTGATACACGTGTCCACAGAAGAGAAATAAATATAATAATAATAATAATAGATTTTGGACTTTATTCACCAAGATGAAACATATGCACTACAATAGATATTTAGTCAATAAGATAACTTGGTCTTGCAAGTGATATTATCTGAGTCAAAATGAACAGAAACACAAACTTGCTTATGACACTCACGTACTCCACCAGATCAAATGCCCAAACTCGATCAGTTTCACATAATTTACCTAAGATTCTGATCCTATTATGCTTTTGATATATCCCACGTTAATCAACTACGGATATATCTTGATCATATTACAGATGATGTATGAAAGCATGAAGGTAAAAGTACAGAATGTTGTTGACAGAGGAAAGGTTGGGGATGAGCACATCAATGGCGAACAGGAACACGAATCTTTCAAGAAATGGTCCGAGGGTTTCACTCGTCAACATCATCCCACTGTAATTCAGGTTCACAACTCCAATCCAATCCAATTTTTCCTATATCCCTTCTTGTCAAATGTTCCAAAACAAGCCTTTTAGCATGCAAATCACTAAAAACACATCTAACCTGCATAAAGTTGTCTTTTCAGACACAAATTTTGTAACAAGACACAATTTGGTTGTTGCAACTAATGACTACTATGCAAGTAGGTTCTGTTGGAAAATGGCAAAGACAGAGACATCACAAGCCATTTGATGCCAAATCTTGTATACATATCAAGAGAGAAAAACCAGATGTCTCCACATAATTTTAAGGCTGGTGCCCTTAATGTCCTGGTAAGCAAACTCAATGTCACACCTCAAATTTTTTTTTTTTTTTATTTTATTTTTTGAATGTCTTGTATAATTATTGTGTTTTATAATTAATTTGAAGCTTCGGGTATCGGGAATCATGACCAATGCACCTATTATACTGAATTAGGATTGTGATATGTACTCCAACGACCCCCTAACGCCTCATAGGGTGCTGTGTTACTTCTGTGACCCTACGATTCGGACCACATTAGGGTACATGCAGTTTCCTCAGAGGTTTCATGGACTGAACAAGGCTGACATCTATGCCTGTGAGTATAAGCGTGCAATGCACATCAATCCGCCCGGGATGGATGGGCTGGCAGGCCCGGATTATGCTGGAACAGGATGCTTCTTCTCTCGCGGAGCTTTCTTTGGAGGCCCTACATCTACCTCACTTGTCACTCCAGAAATCCCGGAATTGTTCCCGGACCATATTGTCAACAAGCCCATTCATGCCCATGAAATCTTGGCATTGGCACACCATGTAGCAGATTGCAGTTATGAGAACCACACCAATTGGGGTTCCAAGGTAATTTAGCTAGCTCGTTATTGTTCTAATGTTTCAAATGTGTACATATATAGAAAAGGCGTCATTACCAGGTGTCGTTGGTCACGTTAATAAAAAATGCTAGGAAGGGTACATATATATATAGGGCTAGTCTAAAGTGCACTAGACTCCTCTATTGCAAAATCTGTGGAGGGTCAGATGTGCCTGTACGTAGTATGTGTACACATATACAATAAGAGCATCATTACCCAATGTCAATTGTATAAATCAAAGATACTAGGGAGGGTATATATATATATATAGGCTAGTCCACGTGTATGCAGAGGGTACATCAATGTATGCAGTCTTACCTTTGCATGAAGAGGTTGTTTTCGATTTTGAACCTAGTGACCTCTAGGTCAGAAAGGCACACGCTTTGTTGATGAAAACATATATAACTGGTTGTAGAATGTGCAGATGGGCTTTAGGTATGGCTCTCTAGTGGAGGACTTCTATACGGGGTATCGGCTAATGTGTGAGGGATGGAAGGCAGTGTTCTGTCAACCTGAAAGAGCAGCATTTTGGGGCGATGCACCGATTTCCCTCAATGATGCACTGAACCAGAACAAGAGGTGGAAATTTGGCCTCCTTGAGGTGGCCTTCTCCAAATACAGTCCTATGATCTTTGGTGCTCATGCTATGGGACCTCTAATGAGTCTTTGTTATACACACTATGTTCTCTCGCCCATTTGGTGCATTCCAATCACTATATATGCTTTCCTCCCTCAGCTAGCTCTCCTCAATGGACTCGTCATCTTCCCCAAGGTATGTAACTGCACTCACTAATTGAATTGTTGTGTGTAATGAAATTTACTTACATACATATATATATATATATATGTATGTTTGGTGAAGCTCAAAACAAAGGCATCAATAGTAAAGTACGACTAAACCTAACCAGAATAATTCGGAGGGGATCTTGTGCCATGGTCCTCTGCTGGTGTAGATTACTAGTGCAACGCACTACGTCGCAGTGCAACATGTACATCAAAAAGTTGTTTTGATCACATAAATAATGTAATATAGTTGTTACATAAACGGTGTAAAATTGTCGCATAAACAATGTGAATTTTTTGCATAAGTGGTCTAAATGGCACACAGAAGAAGATCCGAGTTCGATCACTAATAGCCCAAAAATTAGGCACACCTAAATGAACCTAAGAGGGGAAAAAAATGATTATCCAATAAATCACATTGACAGTGTGTGTTATAATTTTCTTTTGATTAAAAACTATGAAATTAAATGTATCACAGGTCTCAGACCAATGGTTTTTCTTGTATTTGTTTCTATTTTTGGGGGCTTATGGACAAGACTACCTGGAGTTTATTCTAGCACAAAGTAGCACACTAAGGTGGTGGAGTGATCAGAGGATGTGGATGATAAGGGGACTCTCATCTTTCTTATTTGGAACAATCGAATACTTAACAAAGACCTTGGGTATTGTCACACATGGATTCAATGTGACCAGCAAAGTAGTCGACGACCAACAAAGCAAGAGGTATGATGAAGGGAGATTTGAGTTCGGGGTCTCGTCGCCGATGTTCGTGCCGTTGGCAATGGCAGCAACAATCAATTTAGTGGCATTCCTAATGGGGTTTTCGGAAGTTTTCATGAGGGGAGGAGAGTTGGATGGATTGTTTGTGCAAATGTTTATAGCTGGTTTTGTGGTGTTGAATTGCTGGCCAGTTTATGAAGCCATGGTCTTCAGGTTTGATGAAGGAAGGATGCCTACCAAGATTACCATCATTTCAATATTTCTGTCATGGCTTCTTTGCAAAACATTTTCTATCACTCCAAGGATATGATGTCAAGAGGCTTTGGTTTGTATTTTTCTACATGTATAAAATACATATAAAGTATAGTCCGTGCCCTATAGCCTAATGGCAAAAACTCTCATCTCACCTTTTGGAGTAAGGAATTGGACCCCATGAAATTATCTCCATAATCGAGTTCATGTGGATAAACACCTGCACCGTACAACGAGCGCATTCAGACCGTCTATGTAATACAGGCATGACAATAAACATTTGGATGTATCTGTTACACGGTGCAACAAACGTAAAAAAGTTTTTCTCAGTGCACGTGGGACAAAAAACTATATGAGCCCAACTCTTGCATATCCTTTGGGATGTCTTCGTTGTGCTGGTCCAAGCCCCAAACTAATAATTTTTCTAAACTTTTCTTTCGTACTTCTTTGTTTTTGTGTAAAGAGCAGCAGTTGTCCAAAACAAGTATTACAATAGCATTGAGGCATTCAAGTACATGTAACTAAAGCAAGGCTCACAAATTTCCACTCATTACAGACTAAAGAAAGTCTAAATTTCCAAAGCACAAATACATACACAGGAAACAAAAACTACTCCAACCACAGCCACCAGAAATACCTTTTTAATATACACAGATTCTAATTCTACCCATTCACTAATTTCCTTAACACTACTACTACTAGTCTATCCGTTATTCAAACACCAGTTAATAAGCTCTCAAAACTGAGCTGCCAATCCAACTCTGTGTCCTTGCCTACTACATCCCAAGGCAAACATCCTAGATGAGATCACAACCCAATTCAAAAACCCTAATCCAACTACCCAAACCCCCTAATCCCTTCCAAAGAATAACAACAACAACAGAAAAGGAAAACAGAAGAAATGGGAAATCTTTTTTGTTCAGGTTTCAGCAGAGTCCAGGTTAACAACAATCCCATCCACGTCTGCCGAAGATGTAGGAAGTTTGCTTCCTGCACTCATTTTCTTCACATCTTGGCTTGAACAAATGAAGATTCTTCTCACCATGTTACAGAATTCCCTGTGAGAGTGCAACTTAATGACCTAGTGTACTGGGATGTTCAAAATGCTTCTCAAAGTAAAAATTGGATTAATTTGTTTTAGATGACAGATTGTGTGAGAATACTTACTGCCATGGATCATCACCCATGAGCATCCTATCCCCTTCATCGTCTGTGAAAACAATTTCCCATATATTCCGAGGCCAAAGCTGCCCTTTGATTTCGAACATATCTTCCAATTCATCTATAAGCTCGTCGTACCCCTTCAATGTGGTCAAGTCCACCGCTCGGCCCACTGCAACCCCCTGCATTTGAACCTTCTCGACATGCACACCAAACACAAACTTAGTACTTCGAAACTGTGTGAAAAGGAAATAAAGTCTCAATGAAGTAAAATTTATTGTTAAGAAAAGCAAATTTAACTTCAGCTGCCCAATTTATCATATACTACCTTAGTACAACTTCTGGTAGAGCAACTCTGTTTGCTTTGAACCTCCTTCGGTGATACCTGCAACTGTCTTTGCTTCGGTTCTCTGGAAGCCTTTGAAAGGTCAGAATTCTGGTCTGAATCAGCAGCCAGCCTTGCACTCTGTACATGTCTGTCAATGGTGCCATTGGACGCACGTCTGTCAATGGTGCCATTGGACGCATGTCTGTACACGACTGGTTGTACAGGTGCCTTCTCATCAAGAAGGGCACTCATTGAGGGAATTTTCAGATCAACACCAAACAATCTACAACTTGCAACAGTCTCGGAATTCTTCCCATCAATTGGGGCTGGTGTGGGGTCATTGCTCTGCTCTGCAGAGCGAGATGTTGTACAACCTGAAAGAACCAACCAAGCTGCAGAACTTTTCCTTTCTTCTGATTCATCCACAAAGAGATTCTGAGAAACATTTGCACAGGGCGATGATAGCCAGCTTCCCTCCAAATGTGTCCTTGATATACGGTTGCTGCTACTATTTTTAGGAGTGCCACAGATTTCTGTTTGCATAGGATGCCAAGTGAGATTATTTTCACTCATTTGCCCTTCAGGAGTAACCCTTAATAGGGTAGCATCATGAGAAGGATTCCAGACAGCTGATGCAGTTTCTATGACGCACAATGCCAGAAGATGGGGGAGAAAAATTATTTAGGGTGGAAAAAAAAGGATAAAAGAAAATTTACAGTACAATGAACATTTTACATCCTGTACAGACGTAATGAAGAATGAACTAGCAAAAGTCACTCACCATGAAGTGGGATTTCACTTGGTGGTCGGGGCCTTTTATTCTTTACAATCACTGGTTGAACTAAGCTTGCAGGGACTGACGCAACAGAAGGTTCTATCTCCCAAGGGGAAACCCACTCGGGTCTCATGATGGATGCAGGTTCGTCCCATTGAACCTAGACAAAAGATGAAAATGTCAAAATTTTGAATCTAGAATTGTAAATTTATAGGAATTAGGCAAGTCAAATGAAACCTTCAGTGATCTCCATTTGGAATCTTTCCACTGGGGGGAAATACCTTCAGCCCCAACTATTGTGCCTGAAAACCTGATCAATCAAAACAGAATGCTAATCTATATTAGTAATTCTACAGCAAATGAGTAATCTAACCTGTAAGTGGAAATTCTACAACCTTCTCTCGGGAGGATCCTCCCCCTCAAATCTCATCTTGAATCTCATGCCAATTGAAATCTCATTATTAACAGCTTCCAGATATTTGTTCAAACCGATGATGAACTGAGTCGTCCTGATGAATATTATCATAACAAATAAATGCAAACACAAGTTAAGTAATTCAATGTGGTCTCTTCAACACAAGCATCATCTCCGCTTCATTAGACAGAAGTTATGTCTCATACCTTGGCTTGTAGCAGACAACAAATAGAGTTTGGGTCGCAACGGCATGAGAGGCAGTTGCAAGCACTCCTAGGTGCATGCTCTGACTTGAAATCACTGACGATGGCATGGAGCTCTGGTGCTGAGAGACCCGTCTGACTCCAACACGTAATTCTCCATTTTCCCCCCTAGGCAACCAATTCTTATAAGCTATGGTGTACGTAAAAATTGAAATTTTATCGTAGTTGTAACTTGTAATTGACAGAGCATATGAGATTGTACATCTGAAAACATGATAAATTTAGACAAACAATAAAGAATACAATCACCTCAGAAATACAAAAGAATCCCCAGCAACTAATCTTTTAGAAGTAACAAATGTACTCCATCCTGTGGTAAGCAAATGCCTCCGTGGTTGGCCTGTTCATTCAATCAGAAAAATGACGCCTCAGGTATAAAAGAGTTTAAATTTAATCCTCAAGCAACAAAATATCTGATTCTGCAAGGAGTACTTCGTGTTTGTGGTCTTAAAATTTTGGAGAAAGAGACATGCATCATCACTTCCTAAATCATAGCTGCAGCACAAGGACTAGAAAAATAGTAAAAATTTTAAAACAGTACCTCGAAAGATATGCTTAAATCGCCATTCAAAACCATGAAGATCTTTGGCTATCAATTCCTGAGTAGGTATCGGTTGAGTCATATCCTGAACAAAGAATTACATGTTCCGAACAAAGACTCAATCAATAAAATGGACATATTGTAATCAAGTTTAAAATTGTCAACACCCGTCCATCAAGACAGACAAATTACCAGCTGAGGGAGGCATTCATTAGCATGCTTCCTGAGGACGGAAAACCCACCATGGGTGCTTGTATCGGAGGCAGTCAAAACCTTGTAGAATGAGTGAACCTTCGGTCTTGGAGGTTCAGGATGACATGAATCAGGACTTGTTGGTTCAGATTGCTACATATATAGTTTCACATGATTAAAAATTAAACAAAATAAAATTAAGATTGCTGGGCAATAGATGTGAAAACGAGAAAGATAATCAATGAATTCATACATCTGACTCAGGCAATAATGTAATTTGAGCATAAACTTCATCAGTGTCTTGTTCAGCCTACAAACAGAAGAACATCGTGATAAGAAACTCTTGCAACATCAATCACTCCATAATTCTACAATATAATCTCATCATAAATACTGGTAACTACTGATGGAAAATAAAAAATAAAAGAAAATTAATCTTAACAATTATCACAATTCAATTTTATGAGATTGTCATAAATTAGGGATTTAGGACCAAAAAATTACCTAAAAGGGAGCCTAAAAGGAACATTTAGCCAAACAAACAAAACCCATAAAAAAAATATACAATTTCTTGAACTTTCTTAGCTACCAAATGGAAACTAAATCAGGAAATGACTAAGTAGAGCATACCAGAAGCAGAATGTTCACAACACGACAAAGGATCTTGGAGGGAAGATTGAACAGTGGAATCCTCTGACCCAGTTCCTGATTTGTTGATGCCTCTAACTACAGTGCCCCAAAAGAAGTAAAATTTCAAACCCAAAACTATAATTTAAAAAATAATAATAATAAAAATAAAAGAAAAAGAAAAAGAAAAAAAGATCACCATTTATAGAAGGTGTGATTATCATAAAAGAGCGATCTAAATTTGGAGAAACAGTCAACTTACTTGTTCCATGTGACCTTGTGGAAAATACAAAACTTTCTCTCCATTCCTTGGCATGTCCACCAATGGACCAGCACATGCCTTCCATAGCTCCATATACAGATCATCCCCTCCATTACCTGTTTCTCAGCAAACCCACGTCACAAATTCCATAAAACAGCTAAAAAAAACATGTAAATCATAACAAAAATGGAGTGAAATTAAATGGGTCACTTTGTGTTGACCTGATAAATTAGACTGCGAAATTGACCCTTGGTTCAGCATCATTAAAGCACACGTTGAATTTGAAAGAAACACAACCTTTAAATCATCAATCAAAGCTCAGATTCCTCTTTCAGCACACCAATTTCACCGCATTTATATACATAAACTTGCATATTCACAATGATATTAATGATACAAACAATGAATATCCACCCAATTAACCGTTGAAACGATTCACAAGAAAAAAAAAAAAAAAAAAAAAAAAACCTCCGGACTCTTCAATTTCACACCAACGGAATCGGAAACCGCGAAACCGCTACGCAAGCGTTACAATACCCACTTCAAGGTCGGAAAACCAGTCTTTTGCCTCCCACTCTCTCTCTCTCTAAACACGCAATGAGTCCCTCCCACTCTCTCTCTCTTGTTTCTCTCTCTAAAGTCCGGGAAATGAGAGAACGCCGTTACAGAATCCCGAAAACAGCTCCCTTTTTAACTATGGTCTCTCTCTACTTGTCTCCTTTCTCTGTAGTATAGTGTGCAGTCCCATAACACTTACCTAATTAACCATGGTTAAATTTCTTAACCAGAGATAGATGGTTTGTGCTGACGGCGTCTCGAAGGAAAAGGTTGTGATGGAACGGGCGTCACCTAACGATGGACGGAATTTTTTCCCAGGAAATAGGAGTCTGAATTTCGAAAATTAATATTATATATTATAGGTGTTTATTTTTTTTCTCCAAAGATGAAGCATATATTGATAAAAAAAAGTATTTATTGAAAAGGGCCTTGTGGATATCTTAAAGCACCACATAATTTATAGTCCCTTACAAAATCATATTTTGATCCGAATTCGATCATAATGTAATTTGATTAGCCGAATATAAATTAGATAAAAAAATTTAATAATGAATTTGATAATGATCTTAATCCAACATTTTAACAAATTGACTATAAATTATAGTAATTCGATTATATATATATATATATATATATATATATATATATATATATTAGTTATTTACTATTAAATTTATATATATTAATTATTTATCATTAAATTCATTTAGTTTCATATGCCAAAAAAAAATTCAATTATGCTAATGTTTCACCCGTCAAACTTTATACATGTTAGTATATAATTTTAATCTGATTCTAAATTTTATTCGAATTCGAACTAATTATGATATAAATTGAAACATTTAATATAATAATTCATCCAATTCAAAAAAAAATTACAAATTAAACAAATTAAATATAAATTTAGTCGAGTCGATTCGAATGGAATCCATTGACATCTCCTTACAATCCCTCCTTAAAATCTTTCCTTGTGAAGTAAAAGGTCTTTACCATTAAATTATTCTTTAAATTTTAAAAAGTTACTAATATTTATTGGGAGCAAAGAGTGACGGACGGCGTCTTGATTGGGGCAAATTGCCGTTACCGTTAGTTGCCGTCCCATTGGTTGTCTGCTCCGCGGCAGGCAACAGGTTGGCTCGAGTAAACCCGGCAGAGAATTTTCCTTTTTAAAATTTTTCTTCTTGTTGGTTTTTTAAGTCTATTTTTGTGGAATTTTATGGTGTTTTTTTTATGGCCAAAGTTGACGTCGTAATTGCGAAGACTGCCACTGTAGTATGGTGGGTTCCACATGACAGGACGTGTTTGGATCTTTATTGGTTACATTTTTTTCGTTTTTTTCGTTTTTTCCATTTTCTTCTGTCATGCCCACTGTCACATTCAATTTCTTAAAATTGTTTCTCGTTATTTTTCTTTTAGTTTTGATTTGGATTTCTTAACAAACCTTAAATTAATGTTATTTGAGCTTAACTTAATTTAGTAAAAATAAATAAAAATACAAACAAATTAATATCTTACGAACTCAATTTAAAGTATTTACGCTTATTTGACTATTGCATAAATTTCGTTTCATCATGTTCTCAGTTAAATTATTATTTTATTATATTTTTAAAATACACGACTGTAATGGCCATTCAACCTATATTTCACAGCTCCCTCTCTTCCTTCTACTCACCCTCCACTCTATTCTTCTCTTTTCTCTTCACGGTGTCTTTCTTTCTCACTATACTCCCTTCTTCGACCTCTCTCTCTCTCTCTCTTCCTAATATCATTGATGAATGTTAAGACTCCGCACTACATGCAACACGTATTACATTGGGAATCCAACACATATTACATTTATTATATAAAAATATATACTCACTTTGTCCCAAAAATAATATCACGTTAGTAATACATAAAAACATTACTTTAAGAATACAATGCTCACTTGAAGTAATAATGTTACATTCTTGGTGTAATGGTGTATTATAAAGATAAAGGACTATATTATTTTTTTTATTTGAAAGTTGAAGCAAACTTGCACACACCCGTAATACTACTTCTAACAAAGATCAAACATTAAGTCCATTTGTTGGAACACTGCAGAGATTCAATCCAAAAGTGCAGCTTTCATATTGCACAACTCTAATTGTCCCCATTGTATTTTACTCGATTGTCAAACCTCCAAGACTGCTTAACTTTATCTGCAACTAAAATCATTGTAACACGTTAAAACTCTTGTGTTTGTGAATTTCCTTCGAATAAACACCAAACTTTCCAACAAAAACCTTTAATTTTGATACCACTTTGTTGTGGGCAACAAAAGTGCAGGAACATGGAGATTTAATCAAGAATAATTTAAACAAATAAAAAGTATTTTTTCATATTCATATCAAATTTTAATCAAAATTTATTAATTTAAAAAGTATTCTCTAAGTAATAAAATCTCCTTAAAGTTTATTTTTTTATAATTTTTTCTAATATTTTTTTTTAGATAAAAATGTAACTGGATAGAAATTTGACACACATACGTAACATCATTGGAGGGTGATAATACAAAAGGGCGAGATGGTGATGATACAAAACCACGTGTAAGGTGAGTCACTGTCTGTTTTATCCACGGACTATAAAATCAGTTGATGTTGGCCGGGCAACATTCTGAAGGGCAAGCCCGTGAGAAAACGCTGTCGTATCACGTTGTGCAGCTCAGATCTCAGTACAAGTCGACTGACACAATAATGATGACACGTCCACATCGACAATGTATATATAAATTTGTATGGATAGCCATCCATTGCCATGTCCTTAACTGACAGGGTTGGACACTCGGGTACCTGCCCAATTCAGGTAAGTAAAGGGACTGGTCCTTCCGTTCACATACCTAACCTAACCTAGATCAATGTGTCTCACACTGATTCATTTCATTTTTTTTATTTTTTTCATTTCATTATTCATATGCACCAAACTTAGCTCATTGGATTTCCTAGATCAACTTCTTCATCTAACCAAAAAAAAAAAATTTCCCGGGTAAATTGAAAAAACAAACTCTTCACGTGTCGTGATAAAACTATGTGTATTGGATATTCACCAAATTCTACAATATTCTTTTCTTAATTTGTAAGAATATTTTTAACACACGAGAATTACTTCAATGATTTTTATTTTGAAATTACTGCATTAAAATTACAAGTTTAAATTCTAATTTAAGCAATCCAAAATTTACCTACCCACCGGTCACAAGTTTAAAGGAGGTCTGTTGAGTATAGGGAAACAAGTTAGATTGAGTAAAATGTGGAATCGATGCATACCTCAGAGTATTTTAGGTTTCTTTAGGAAGAACAAGAGTGGATTTGTTTGATTTCTAATCTTATTTGAGTCGACGAATGTGGAATTTTGCGTCTCCTACACATTTAACAATTCTGCCTCGTTAAATATGAGATTAAGTGTAAATAATTTATTAGTATTACGTTTATGTGGTAAAAAACCTAAAGGGGACAAAGCTTCAGACAACTGGATTAACCTAAGAAAAAAAAAAAAACCTCTCGTCCTCTATAAACGTACATGTATCTTCCACACCCAACATTTCACAGGGATGAATGACAAAACCTAACAACTTATATGCACTCTCTCTCTCTCTCTTTCAAGCCTCACCTCCCTCACTTAACAACTTCATGTTCCCATGGGTTAACTAAAAAACTCACCAAAATAAAGTTATTTAAATACTAACTGCTGACAGAAATCAGAAATCGTCATAGTAGAGAGGTTGATGATTTAATTTATCCATTAATTAACATAATGATCATATTAATAACAATTGATTAATACAACCACAACAATCCCAGAATACACTACATTTTTTCTTATCTTTTTTCGATGAATAACATACTATATTCTTTAGTTAACGAGCTTGTCAAAGTGATCATATATAATCTATATTTACTGGATAAACACTTTTTAGTTTTTAAAACAAAAATATTAAATTGGCTAACCAATAAACATTTATAGGATAACATTATGCTGACTCGTACAACTCGAATCATTTATCTTTTCTTTGAGAGAAAAAGGGTTATATGAGGTGAGTTTACGCGATTTTCACGTATTTTCTTTATAGCATCATTCCATTTCTTAATAATTACCTTTAATATTATGGATAAGCATTCTACAAGTAGGTGTTAAATCCTTTTTAGACTTTATAATAGAAAGATTTGTTAAACTATTTCTTTATTTAGTGAAAAAATGGCATCGGAATCAATGAAAGAACATATTTACTTTATTATAACTAATTAATAATAATTTGAAAATAGTAACAAAATTACTTAATTACCTTAAAAAAAAAAGTGTAACAAAATTACTTCTTTTAAAATTGATCTGTGACATTATCCTATACATACATAATAGGATCAATCACCAAATATGTGTTGCATCAAAATTGACATGTTGAAGTAAGGAAATGAATGGGCTGGTCCAAACCTCAGGTCCCAAGACAAGAACTCTTTAAATCAATCTACAGAGTCTCCATAGAACATGTCATTGGCTCCCCCACCAGCCCCCTGAAACAGGGGATGCTTCTACCCTTTAAGCCCACATAATAATACATGTCTGAATAGAAATAGTATGGACGGGATTTTTTTCGTGTCGGATATCGCATTCAATGTCTCACAGCACATACATGTATGATCGTGTAAACGGGTCTGTATTGTGAACCATTCAATACAGTACTACATGGGATCCGGGAGTTTTAAAGAGAGAGAGTAGTATCGGTAGGACTAATGATTTTGAATGCACACCCCCATGTGGAGACCAATTTGGCTGGTGCTGCCTGGCTGCCTTGCCCAGCACCAAAAATGAAGGACCCCATAAATTGAAGTTGAGCCACTCTCCTTAATTCCTATCTACCCACCTAGTTTGTGGTATTGCTAATGTGGGGTACCCCTATTAATATATATACTAGTACTAATAATACTCCATAAACAAAAGCAATTAAAGATTAGTTAATGTGAGGTGATCGAGTACCATATAACCATTAAAGAAACTCAAGGACTGTGGGTTGGAGTCCATGTGAAGACAGTCATGGGCTAAAAGGAAATTTATAAGTTGCTAGTGGAGTCTACCCTAGCTTTCGTGTTGTCAATTGCTTCCTATTAATCAAATATTATTAGTTTAGAGCAATG